TGTGATTGTATTTCTCCTTGTCCATTTGTCTATTTGTTCGACTCGCCGTTTTTGGTTCCTAACCTTTGGCACAAGCGGGACCGATATGTGGGTAATTTTTCTAGTTTCCTCTTTTTTTTAGTTTTCTTATTTTGGGTGGAAGCACGCTAACGTACAGAGTCGTACAATAGTACAATTTATTGTTTGTAATCTAAAGGGGGCGAATCAAAGAATGAGACGCTAAGCTAGGAACGCCCCTATTGTTAAACTTGTGATCGATTTTAAAATCTCGAGTTATTTTGATGTAGATTATTATGATTTTCGTGAATTCCTGTTGATTATTGTTATTTCTGATCGCGTTATCGACGGAGGCAGGTTAATTGCTCCAAGCATTTTTTGATCATGGGTTACGCAACGTTTCAAGTAAATTGATAGGAATTCGTTGCATTGTTATTTCAGTTTACGATCGCGATCGTGCATCGTCTATCGTGGTTCGTATATCGTGGATCTTTAATCGTTGATCACCAATACATCACCGTTAAATGTCAACCTTCAACCTTGGGTTTTCGTGGTTATTGGTAATTGAAGCACGAAACAACCTGTAAGATAGTCTCGTTTATCCTTAGCATTAACACGCCTTAGCGACACCCCTCGAAGTTTCGATCTCGTTTGTCGCAAGCGTCACAGTGTGTATCGGATGTTTTTGGGCAGTAAGAACGATAGATGAAGTCAAATATGACTTTTATTGGGAAAATAATTGATTCATTTAACTATTATTATTACAACTGGAAGTTCAAGATGTTATTTGATTTTATTCACGTTTAGGCAACAGGCTTGTCTTTCTTTTTTTGTACACACTTCTCCAGTTATGGTGCAATTCTCATCTGTTGAGGGTTAGGGTAGTTTGAACAAAATAAAGTGATCAGATTTTGGTAAAATTTTTCATGTCATAAACCATATATGATGACATTTTCGAGATTGATGATTGAAAAGAACTTTCTTTCCTCTGATAAAATCCATAATTATTCTACCATTTCCCCCAAGTTATGACGACCATATCTCTAGTGCAGACATCATCTTACTTTTCTTAACGCGACAATGACATTTCGTGTTTCAGTAATCATTCCCGCCGGTTGTGATTCGTGAAAAAAAAAAACTTTTCAACCAAAACCTAAACTTCTGTGAACTTTTATTTTTTGCTGAAAATGCAAATACATTGCACTGCAAGTTGAAGCTCTCAAACACTCAAGGAAAGTAAGTACTACAAATGTACTCGATTTGTTGACGGATAGCAATGACAGGATATATTAAATTAATTTCCTATACGTCTGTGCTCTTCGACAGGCCTCCTGTATCATTCACAAAAAAGATCTACATCGACCGTGCCAAAAATTATTAAGGAGGACTCGTTTTGAATTGAATACTTTTTGCCTGGCGTTCCTGGCGGAATTCTGGATGGCCTGGTCGCTTGTTCAGAAGC